TTATTCCCTCTATTTGCTTTATTGTTGGTTTCATTTACAGATTGACTCCCCTATTTCTCTACTTACTTTTTTTTTGTGAGTTTATTTTGATAATCTTTTTCTAGGTTGGTTTCTGTGTGGTGGTGTCAAGTGTCTTCTTTTTAATTTGTTGTCCTCTGTTGTGGGTTTTCTATTAGAAGGACTGTCTTTAGCATTTCATTTCCTGTGGGGTTGGTGTGGCTTTCACAAATTCCCTTAATTTCTGTTTGTCTGGGAATGTCTTGATTTCACACTCATATTTGAGGGACAGTTTGGCTGGATATATAATTCTTCATTGGTAGTTCTTTTCCTTCAAGGTTTATTCTTGTCTTCATGGTTTCTGCTGAGAAATCAGAGCTTAGTCTTATTGGTTGCCCATTGCAGCTGACATTTTGTTTTTTTACAAGCTGTTCCCAAGAATCTTTCTTTTTCTTTGGTTTTGGAAAGTTATATTATGACATGCCTTGGTGACTTTCTCTTGGGGTCTATCCTGTGTGAGCTTTTTGGATGGATAAAGTTTCTTCTTTCTTGATAAGGGGGAAATTTTCTGTTAGCATGTCTTTGACAATTTTCTCTGTGTGTGTGTGTGTGTGTGTGTGTGTGTGTTTTGCCTCCTTTTGTTCTGGGATTCCAGTCAGGCATATGTTATTTCTTTTCCTGTCATCCCATATAACTCTCTTTTCTTCATTTGTTCTAAGTTTTTGTTCTGATTTTTCCCCGTACAAGGCGGAGTCCAGGGGTTTTCCTTCTAGCTGGGAAATGTGTTTTTCAGGCAGTTTTAGTATACTCTTTTGTCCTTCCAATGTGTTATCTCTCTCCATAAGTTTAGTGTTCATCTTCTGGATTTCTAATTGCTGTTTTTGTATGATTTCTAATTGTAAATTTAATTTGTTATTTTGCTCTTGAATGATTTTCCTGAATTTTTTGAGGGTATTGTCTGTCTTCTCATTGCTTTTGTTTATGGTTTCCTTGAGCTTTTGGAGGGTCCTGTGTATATCTTATAAATTGCTTCTCAGATAGTTCTACTACTTGTTCTTCTTCAGGGAGATTTCCTAATTCTTAGTTTGGACACTTGTTCCTACTATATTGTCCTGTTTTTGGTTTGATTTGAAGTTGTCGTTTCTTAAACATTTTGAAATTGTTATCATTATTTGTTAGTTATGTACTGATTTCTTTCACTTTGAGTTTATGTTTTACTTTGTTTTAATATATCTGGATGTGTGGAGCAGGTGTACTTCTTTGGTTCTTAACTCAGCGGTACTGGCTCACTCTTCACCTTTCTCTGTTTTGGTGGAATCACTTGTGAGGATGTGGGTACAGGTTTCTGTTTGTCATGAAGAGGATTTTCAGTTCGGATGAGCAGGTGTTGTTTACCCTCTGTCGTTGATCTCATGGTGCAGGAGCTATTCGTGTTTCTTGTCTGTTGGGTGAGGTGGTCAGTGTAGTAGCTATGGTTGTTTCATGGAGGGTTAATATGTTCCTCCCATTGGATGAGATAGGGGGAAAAAAAAAGAAAAAGGAGAGATGGAAAGATAGAATAGAAATAGATAAGAAGAAATAAGCAAAAAGGAAAAAGAGTATAAGGGAAAGAGAGAAAAACAAAAGTGGGCAGGTGAGATGGATAAAGGTTTGTCAAAAACCAAAGAAGATGAGGAGGCAAAGGGGCAAGTGACCAGACGGAAAGGAACGAAAATTGGGTTAGAGGGAAGTGGACAAATGAAGGGAGCATAAGGTATTTAAGGAGGTTTCCCTCCAGTTATATTCAGCCAGTAGCTGTGGTAGCTGCCAGCTTTGGCAGAATCCGCTCACTCACTGGAGCACCCACATAGGAGAAAGGATACTGGTGCAAGAAGTGACCCCCAGGGGAGAAAGCCCAAAGCACATTTTTTGTGCTTAGTGTGAGATAATTCAGTCAGTGATGCAGGTGTTGAGAAGGACAGCTATAACCCCTAGCTCTGTTTGTAGCAGTCTGCTGATGGTGATGTTCCGCCATCATCAAAGCCCTGCAATTCAAACTCACCAGCTACTGCAAAGGCAAAAGGACCACCCTCCTCCACACGGATCCGTAAGTCCTGAAATCCCAGGCCTCAGTTCCACTCTGAGCTAAAAAGGTTGCTAAAAGTTGGACTCAAAGCCACTGCTGTGGGTCTGATTTGGGGTCTGTTTATTTGGAGAGAGTTTCTCTTCCCTTTCCCTACTCCCTTCTGCACTGTGCAGCATCTTAAGCTATGGAAGTCCTGATTTCTTTCAGTATGATCTTCAACCCCACATGAAACTTTAGCTCACCTTGAAACATTCCCAATGTGACTAGTCTGTGTTTGTAACACCTGTGGGTTGTGTGAAATTTATTTTTTTTTCCCCTCCTCTTTGACCTCCTTTGTATTTGTAATGACTTCTCGTGGGCTCCACCAGCTGGGTGGGGTTTTATTTTTTCCCAGTCACAAAAGCTCCCTTTTGCTCTCTTCACTGGATCCTAATACTTTATCTTCTCAGTAACTGCTTATAATTCCTGGGTCATTATTTGTATCTATTTTATTGAGTTTCTCAAAATCTCTGTTGAAAGTGGAAATTGTAGTGCAGTGTTTTAATAAGACACCATCTTAACTGGAGTCTTGAAATGTTCTTTTTAATGAAGAATGTGATACCATTCCATATTAATTTATCTTTCCTAGTGTAGTAGACCATCTAATTGTCTGATTCAAAATGGTCAATACCAGTCTATTTCAGCTCACTAATGCCTAGGCTATCAATCTTTATGTGTTCAATTTCATTTTTGACAACTTTCAATTCTCCTAGATTCATACTTCATACATTTCACATTCCAGTTATTAATGTATGTTTGCAACTGTTTCTTCCCATTTTGAGTTGTGTCTCATGAGCAAAAGAAAGTCCTGAAAGCTTCACTCCATCCACGTCATTAAGGTAAATTCTACTTTGAGTAGGTAGCTCTTCCCCAGTCATGTTTTGAGTTCCTTCCAACATGAGAGGCTCATCTTCCACCACTATATAAGACTATGTTTCGCTGCTATTCATAAAGTTTTCAGTGGCCAGTTCTTTGAGAAGTGGATGTCCCCATCTTTCCCAGTTTATCTTAGTCTTGAAGCTCTGCTGAAACCTGTCCACCATGAGTGACCTTGCTGGTATTTGAAATACTTTGTTGCTGTTGTTGTTGTTGTTATGTGCCGTCGAGTTGGACCCGACTCATAGTGACCCCTCCTTGAGTTTCCGAGGCAGTATCACGATGGAAGTAGATTGCCCAACCTTCCTTCTGAGGATTTTGAAATACTGGTGGCATATTTTCTAGCCTCACCACAACACCAAGTTACAACATTATGACAAACTGGCAGGCAAGTGGTGGAATCTTCTCATATCATATATTAAAAAAAAAGTGAAGTAATTTGTGTCAAATACAGTAGGTGGCACTGTGATAAAACTTTTGTGAAGAATTGAATTAGGTTTCATCTATACTCTTTTACCAATCTTGTTGCTAAATAGAGAGAGATTTCTAAATAGGCAAGTCTGAACAAACTCTAGCAGGTATTCTCAAATGGCCATTATTAGTGATGTTTTATTTTTATTGAAATGAAAAAGTTAAGTGCAATGATGTGTTTCTTGAAATAAACTACCAAAAAATAAATAAAATAAAAAATGGAGCGTACTGTGAATTGATCCATAGTCATAGATCTTAATTTTTTTAAATTTTTTCATGTGTATTTCAATTTTATACAAGTTATTCTCAGCTTCACATTCTTAGTAATTAGATTTTTAAAATTAATTATTCACGTCAGTCAAAACAGCAAGGACGAAATGCAGCATGAGAACAGAAGACAATAAATTTTAATATGGTGATTTTGTCATATTTTCATTGTATCTCAAGGTACTCTCTTCAGTCTTCTCCCTAAAAAAAAATTAGCTTACTATTATTTGACTAGCATGACCAGTTTTGTATTACTTCAAATAATACATTGAAAGGAATGTTTTAGAAAACTTAGCTATTCTTATACATTTAAAAACACAATGTCAAACTTTTGTAAAAGTAACAACTTGGATTATTTGATGTATTAACATTTAATAATACAAGTATCTTCTTATTTGTATTGATTGTGGTTAAATTCTAAAAACTAAAACAAAACTCAGTACCATGGAGTTGATTCAGACTCATAGTAAGCCCCATTAGATTTCTAAGGCTCTAAATCTCTACAGAAGCAGACTGCTGCATCTTTCTTCCCTGGAGTGGCTGGTGGGTTCAAACCACAGACCTTTTGGTTAGCAGCCAAATGCCTTAACCACTGCACCACCAGAACTTAGGGGATTCTCAATCCTGGCTTTACAAGCTTCACAGTCATCCCTGGAACATCTTAAAATACAACTTCAGGATTCTGAGTCAGCAGGTGTCATAGCAAAATCTTGCATATATATCACAAAAAGTAAGTTACCTGCACATATCCAGTTTCCTAAAATTGTCTTTGAATGGCTTATTGGGATCTTTATTAGGAGACACAGAAATTCCTGTGTGAAACACATTTAGCAAATTTCTATAAAGTTACAATTTGAAATACCAAAACATGTAGAAAGTAGTAACAACAAAAATATTTCAGAAAATTTGAAGTGTATATAGTAGTTATAATCAAGAATAGAAAATAAACATTACTTGTGTTTTTTACTATTAAACATCTGTTGTTTTCCTTCTTGATATAAAAAAGGAAATGGGATTTCTTTCTTTTTTAAGTGGCAAAATCTGAAATTTTTGAATGGAATTTTCCCTACCAAAATATAATCTCCCTTTTCTCTCTTTTGGAGTTTTGATTAGTTAGGGTTAATATACACATATATGTTTAAATTTAGTTTGTAGTCTCTTTTCATCTAATTTTTGTTTCTCTTTTGGTTTAGTTAAAGTGATGGTATTGCCTTTTCTCTTTCTTTTCTGATTACTGATTAGACTACTGATGTGGCAGTTAATTTTACATATTAATGTCTTGCAGCTGATTACCTGGCTCAGGCATTTGATTCTCTTTGCTTGGACTTGAAGACAGATGAAGGAAAAACCTTGTTTTTGGACTATCAAGCTGTTCCAGTAATTTTAGGTCATCTAAGGATATCCAGTAAAGGACTCCTATCCAATGTCATTGATAGCTTGCTGCAGATGACAGTGGAATCTAGTAAGTTTTTTAAACTTAAAACAATGAAAATGAGATGATGTTTTCATCCTTAACGTGTTTTGAATATATACCTACATATCAGACACTTGCATTTTGCAATGTATATGCTTAAGAAACGCTTTTGACAGCTATGTAATTAAGACATTAATAACATCAGGAAAAGTTATACAGTCTAACCCTTTGCCCACATTTTCCCTAATTTAGCACAGTTTCTAGTAGTCATCTCAGTTATGTGGGTATGCTATGTGAATGTTGGTGAAATGTTTGAACCACCTTCTCTGTTGTCTTTTGTTTATTCATTCTGGCAGATCTTCTAGTATATTCTTTATTATCTCAGAGGGAGTGAAGTCATCAAATGTATTTCAAACTGAAGTGAGAATAATGACATAGACATATTCTTGTTGTTGCCCTTTTAAACTTACTGTTTCATTGGAGGGATTTTTGAGAGAAGCACTCTTGTATATTTTGGCTAATATATTTAATTCATGCTTTTAGAAATTTGTAGTGTGTGAGTTGTTTTTTTTTTTTTCATTTTGGTTTTTATTTTGGTATAACAATTTTTAACTTCCTATTATTAGTTCCTAATTTAGCACAGATATGTACAGGGGTGCTTGACATAAATATTTTTATTTGCTTTAGTTGGCATTGCTCTTTGAACTTAAGACTTAACTTGTAAAAAGCAGCCATTTTTGCTTCAGTAATTATATTCATTCCTAGTCTGTCTTTCTTTTCTACTGTCTTCCTTATTCTCTCTTTCCTTCACAGCACTTCTAAATATAAAGCAAATTTTAAAATGGAAAGGCATTGTGGTAGTAAGCAACCTATGGATTTAGATGCCTCTTGTGGGTTAATTACTAACGATTGTGTGCAAAGCATGCTTAAGTTTCTAAATAACACCTACTCTTCACTTATCAACTATCTTGTTATCTAACATTTCATATTGCAATAGTAAACAATCTACTATCGACTATATTGCACATTAATGATGTGTATCTGGCAATAATGAACACTGAGGTATGAGGCAAGAGTAATGCTAGCTGTGGTGGTAAAGGTTTTGTGTCAGCTTGGTTGGGTCATGATTCTCAGTTATTTGGCAGTTATGTAATGATGTAATTTGGCAGTTATGTAATGAGGTAATCATCTCCCACTTCATGATTGGATGTGGTAATCCTTGATTTTCACATAACACTGATGTTAACTTAATGACCTGGTCTTTGGAACCTAACTATGTCAATGAAGGAGGAGTGGGTGTAGTTACTTTTGCGTATATGGTTTTACATTTTTAGTTCACTTACATGTAAAACCAAACTCACTTCCATCGAATCGATTCTGACTCATAGTGAACCCTCCTTGGGTTTCTCTATGGAAGTAGATTGCCCAGTTTTCCTTCCAAGGAGTGGCTGTTGGGTTTGAACCACCAGCCTTCTGGTTAGCAGTCAAATGCCTTAGGAACTATGCCACCAGAGCTCCTTTCACATGCAACCTTACTTTTCCTTTACATCATCCCTGTGAAGGAAGTCTCGTAGGGAAACTGAGGCCTAGAAAAATTAAGTAACTTCTCAGGTAGGCAGAGGGAGTACTGAGACTTGGATCCAGGTCTCCGACTCTAGATATAAAACTCATTCTACCTTATCATATGATTAGGTTTTCCAGGCTTATTTTTTTTTCTCCAGCTCTAAATTGACAACTGATAGGACGAAATATCCTTGACCTATTTTATTAATATTTTTAGCTATTTGTAACTGCTAAGATACTGGATTTATGATTGGATAATCTAGGTACCAAGATAAGTAATCTTGAGGTTTTATGACTCAGTTTATTAATGTAAGAAATAGAGTAGAAAGTGAACAGTTAGTAAACTGAGGCACCAACCCACCCACTGCCCTCAAGTTGATTTTGACTCATAGCCACCCTATAGGATAGAGTAGAACAGCCCCATAAGGTTTCCAAGGCTGTAAATCTTTACAGCAGCAGACTGCCTCATCTTTCTCCTGTGGCCGGTAGGTTCAAACTGCTGACCTTTTAGTTAGCAGCCAAGTGCTTTAACCATTGTGCCACTAGAGCTCCTTAACTGACACAGAGCCCTAATATTACTTGTTTAAGTAATATTGGCTAGATTTCCAACTTATTTCACAGGATTTATTTATTTATTTTTTAAATGAGAAAATGAATATCCTACCAGAAGCAAATGCCTATTCATTGGAAACAAATTTGTCTGGATGTCTAACATAGGTAAAATATTTCTTTGTATATTGGATGAAATGACTTTATAGGACCCTAAAATTCACATTTGGAGAAAGTGATAGATTATTCAGTCAACAGATTTGCAGTTCACTCACATTTGATTATCTTTGTTCAGATTAACCTCAAATCTACAGTTATGCCTTTCTTGCTAAAATTAAGTAAATAAAGGAATTCTTTGGCAGTGCAAACCGTTTACATATCGAGTCCACCTAGAGGCATCCTAGAAAAAATGCCTGGTGATCTATTTCCAAACTGTCAATGATTGAGAACCCTATGGAGCACAGATCTACTCTGACACACATGGAGTTGCCATGATGAGAATTAGCTCCACAGCAACTGGCTTAGTAGTGATTACTATGAAAGCATTGTTTTTCCTAAATGAATTTAATACAGTTTCCATTATAAGTGTAAATCCAATACTGGTATTGGTCAGTCAACCAGATTTGTGGAATGGATGAATTACAGCTAGATCAAGCTAGATCAAAATGAAGCAAATACTTCTCTGGATTTTTTTTTTTTTACTTTTTTCTAAGTGTGAGATGGAAAGTGTATTTCACCTTCTACATAATTTCTGCAAGCCTTTTTTTTTTACCCCCCCCCAAGATCATATGAGAATGTTGTTGGAAAAGAAATTTAGAATTGATTTATGGATGGGTTGTCTCACCCAATTAATGGATGGATACACAGCTGTGTGTAAGGCACCTACTGGTACTCAGTGTGTCTGTTGGTAAACTATTACTGGTTTACTAGGAGGTCAGTACAGAAATAGAGTTTTTAGAAACTTTTAAATACACTTTTAATACAAACTTAAATCTCTCTAAACTCACTTCTCACTTATCTATGTGGTTAGGTTCCGAAGATCAGGTTGTTACGTGCAAACTGGCATTATGTGAAATGGAGGGTTCTTTTTTCCTGTTTTCATGCCATCTATTTGTCCTATATATTTTTTTATTATTTAGAAAATAGATCATAGATATAATAATAGCTAAGCTTTACTGATGTGCTTCTTGCTGTGACGAGTCTAGTCATGCATTATTCCTCTGTGCAGCAGGCTTGGAGGAGAGAAAGCTGGTTAAAGCCAGGCTGTGTGATTGGAGGGCCCATGACTTAACCATTTCACCATCCTTCTATGCTGGGTCAGACCTTCCTTTGTGGAGCCTCCTCCAAGGACCCACTCCCACCCCTGCAAGCCCTGTGTTCATGATCCCAGAATTTGCTCTGCCCTTTGACCTGGTGAGTTACAGAGGTTTAGGGCTTCCTGAGAGAGCACTGGGAGTCTGGCTGTGCACCCAGCCCCACTAAGATAGAAGCTTCAGGCCCAGTTCCACTCACTTTGTGGAGTGAGTGGAACTGGTTGTAAACTTGCACACTGTGGTAGTTAAGATTATGTGTCAGCGTGGCTGGGCAGCTGGATAATGAGTCTGGTTATCAGCTCCATGGTGGAATCTACTATAAGCAACTGAATAGCTACCTTAGGGATGTGGTCTGTGTTCTAGTTACCTCTGTGCTGTTCTAACAGAAGATACCACAAATGGGATGGCCTTAAGAAACAGGAGTTTATTCTCTTATAGTTCAGGAGGCTAGAAGTCCGATTCAAAGTGCCAGGCTCTAGGGGCTGTGTGAAAACCCCTTGACCGGACTTATCTCTAGAATTTATAGACCACTTCAACACCTCAATAACAAAAAGACAAAAAATCCAATTAAAAAGTGGGCAGAAGACATGAATAGACACTTCACCACGGAGGATATTCAAGCGGCCAGCAAACATATGAAGAAATGTTCACGATCATTAGCTATTAGAGAGATGCAGATCAAAACAACAATGAGATACCATCTTGCTCCAACACTAGTATCAAAGTTCAACAAGACAGAAAATAACAAATGCTGGTGAGGTTGTGGAAAGATTGGGACTCTCATACACTGCTGATGGGACTGTAAAATGGTACAACCATTGTGGAAAGCAATATGGCGATTCCTTCAAAAGTTGGAACTAGAAATGCCATTTGACCCAGCCATCCCATTACTAGGTATATACCCTAAAGAAGTGAGAGCCATGACAAGAACAGATATATGCATGCCCATGTTCATCACAGCACTATTTACAATAGCCAAAACATGGAAACAACCTAGATGTCCATCAACTGAGGAATGGATAACCAAACTACACACAATGGAATGCTATGCAACGCTAAAGAATAATGTAGAATCTGCAAAACACTGCATAATGTGGATGAACTTGGAGGACATTATGATGAGTGAAATAAGTCGATCACAAAAGGACAAATATTGTATTAGTCCATTATTGTAAAAGTTAAGGAAAGGTTTATCTATTGAAAGAAATTTTCTTTGTTGGTTACCAGGAGTGGGAGGGGAGGAGAGGGAACGCTGTTAGATAGATAGAGATAGATATTGATTTGGATAAAGAGAAGGGCAATGTACCAAATGTGAGTGATCAATAGGGCAGCATTGAGGATGAGAAAGACATAGAGAGGTACATGGGCAGTACAGACAACAAATATGAACCCTTTTGCATATACAGTACTGAGTTGTCAGTGAAGGCAAACATGGGTATATGGACGGATAGACGACAGGTGGACAGGCTAAACAATTAGGTATGTCTAAATGGGGAGTGTATCTAAGATCATATATAGGGTTGGCAGACAATGGTCCTATAAGTTTATGTGAATGATCAGAATTCCCAGGTGTATAGTAGAGCTCACAAGGGGCAAGGTTATGGTCATTGCTTGGTCACAGCC